CGTTAGCTGTCTTCCATAGCATTGTAGCACAGCCGAAACATGGCAGCCTCCGGTGTATTCACGTCTTCCATCCCTAACAAAGTTCCCACCCCCTCGAAAAGTACGGTGATTGGCTACGCTGCTTTAGCGTCAGGAAGCTCGGAGCTTTCTGGCTTTGGATCGTCATCCAAAGCCAGAAAGACGGAAACCGGAAGTTGGTCACTTCTGATATACGTCACAGCTGAACGTTCTGTTGCCATGGAGATCATATATTCTAAGAAACAAACTGATGATGTCACTGATAATGTCACTGATGTGACTGATGATGTCCCTGCCTCCAGCATTCACACAGATGAACCAATCAACAACTAGAGAAATTGCATTTCCTGCAAAAATGCTAGTGTGAACGCCTGTTGCTGAAGAAGCAGAAAATGAGCTGAACATGTATAATAGCAAAAGTATTATTGTAAGTCAAGCTTGAAAAGCTCAAAGAAGCAAATAAAAAGCCTAAAAACAGTAAAAAGGAGCAAAAATATAGCTGAATTAGCATCAAAAGCTAAAAGTTAAAGGCTAAAATAGCTTAACATAGCGGAAAGCAACCGTAAGAAGCATAAATAACTCAAATTAGTAGAAAGAAGAAGAAAAAAAAAGGCAGAATAGTAGAAAGAAGAATTTTTTTTTGCTGAAATATCTGAAAAAAAGCTAAAATTAGTAAAAAGCTTAGGCTACAATTGTTGAATTTTCTTGAGGCTTCAATATGTTATATAGTTTGCTCTCAGTTACCAGTACAGAAGTTTTCATGTCAAAATCTCAAACATTGGCTGAGTAAAAAGCCTTTAAAACTAGCTTTGGCATCTTGGATATTTATTTCAGCTGCTATCTATGATGGAGCTAAATCTCAGGTACATATATTTTGATTTTTAGCTCATATCAAAAATTGGCCAAATTCAAGTAATTTGAACTAATTTTAGCTAGTAACAGCTAAACTTTAGCTAAAATTGTAGCAAATAGCTGAATCTTGCAGAAAGCAACTGTAAGAAGCATAAATAGCACAAATTAGCAGAAAAAGTATAACAAAGCAGAAAAAAGGCAGAAGAATAGCATAAAAACTAACATTTAGCTAATATAGCAGCAAAAAGTTAAAGTTAGCATAAAAATTAGCTAAAGGTAGTAGACTCAAGTTGAAAGTAGCACCCAGATGGTAGAATGGTTGTTAAAAAAAAATCTAAATTTGCAGAAAAAAACTCATAAAACTATTAAAAAATGATCATTTGTAGTAAAATAGCTAAAACAGCCACAGTTTTCATTAAAACAGCTAAAAAGTAGATGGAAACATTTTAATTAGCATAAGGATGCATGAGGAGCACAAGT